GACATGAAGACGAATTAAGGTGACTAATAGATACGTTTTAATAAAGTGTCAAAACAAAAAATATAGATCATCTATATTTATATTTTAACAATCATAAAATATCTAAATACCACCATAAACTCAGATTAATATGTCGCTGTTCTTTAAATTAATTTAATGCCAGTGATAAATAACTAAATATGGTTAATAGACGACCTTATTAAAACTTATCTTAATAACCATTACTAGTCAATTGTGAACACATAACATAAGATTGTGAACCACCTTAAATTATCTAAAGACCTTAAGAAGTTGTATAATGGCCTTAACAAACTCATCTACCTAACTAACAGATTCGGCTTTCCGACTATACTCGAATCGACCAATCGTTTAACTAGCGTCCACAGCACAGAACAGCGTCCTCTGTGGTAGCGTCATTTATTATTTCTCACTTGTTTACGGGAAATTGAGGATAATATTGAATCGTTTATAGAAGAAAAAGGGCGTTTCTTCACAATTGTTTTGCGGTAATTTTACAGAACATGGTAATGGCTTTCAAAGTTACTCTGCTTGAATGGGGGCTCAGTGATTTTGTTAAAGGATTTGAAGGTAGGTTCAATTTCTTTCTATATGGATTCCGGGGTCCCTGCATTAAGCATTTAAAAAATTCATCCTGTATTTATTATGTTGATGATACTTTTATAAATGTATGCTTTGAAGTTTATTTTATAGGATATAGGTAAAATCTGAAATATATTTTTGGTAAAATGTTAACAATTTATTATTATTAGGTACCATATTTATAAATAAAACAGCTTGAGAAAAATTACCAAGATTTTTAATAGGTCAGAATATTGGCTTTGATTCCTTAATTTATTATTTAATTATACATGTATAAAGTAATAATTTTAAGATGACCTATCTGCTGAAATAGTTTAATTTTTTTAAAGCTCAATTGTTATCTTTCTTTTAGGGTAGACTGGCTAAAAATGTTCAGAAAATTATGGAGTTAACTAAATGGAAATAATCCTTAAAAGTATTATTAATTAATATCCCTGTTAAAAATCACCCATAAAGACCAATAGAAAAGCTATTGGGATTTTCCAGCGGCAGCTATATTGGTTTGAATTGGTCTCAATAGTGGTATCTGTACCATGAATTACCAATTCAAACCAATAGCGACACCGCTGGAAAATCCCAATACAGACCGATAGAGACTAATCGTATTTTATTGGTAATTCCCAATAGATATATTATAGATATATTTTATTGGTAATTCCCAATAGAGCTATTTGGATTTTCCAGAGGTACCGCTATTGATTTGAATTGGTCCCCACTAATAGTGTCTAAAATGGATAGTGGGCCACTATCCATTTTAGACGTCTTTAAGGTAAAAAATTACGTGTTTTGATGGTTAAATAATTTCTTAAAAATAGTGCTGTTTAACATTTAATTTAAATTTTATAAATAGCTTCTGCTAAAAGTAAGTAGTGGGGCCCACTGCTTTCTTTTCGCAGAGTGGGCCACAGGACGACCTGTGCCCCTTTAACAATTCCAAAACGCCAAGCGTTTCCATGGCCAGTAATTTTGCCTTAGTAAGGAATCCTTACTTAGCAGCTCAAGGCATTCCACCTTTATTGTATTGTGCTACAGAGGCGAGAGGTATGCATGGGTTGCCTACCTATTGGCGAATTTTAAAAATAAATATTAAAGTGTTATATACCAATAGGGTTCCTTGTACCTACACACCGATAAAATACCAATTCAGACCATTTATCTGTTGGTATTTTCCAGTAAGAAAATTGCCAATAGAAACAAGTAGTCATTTGTATTAAATTGCGCAGGCGCTGAACATTTAAGTGGTATTTACCAATTGAATTTCTATTGGGAATTTCCTGTACTTGTAACTTCTTATAAATACCAATTCAGACCATTAGGTAATCTATTGGCATTTTCCAGTACGGAAATTACCAATAGAAACCAATGCTCATTCTGTTGAGAAACCAATAGGCCCAATAAAGACCAATTCATTCCATTCTGATTTTTTATTGGTTTCTATCGGTCTCTATGTGTGATTTTTAACAAGGATTTCTACTAAAAGTATACCCAGGTAGCACACTGACGTATGCTGACGTTTATATGACTTCTTCTGACGTTAAAATGACGTTAGCAAAGTCATTTCAACGTCATATAAACGTCAGTGTGCTACCTGGGTAAAGTCTTGAAAATGAAAATAAAGTCCCAACGCAGAAAATGCACTAATAAGGTCATCTAGTAAAAATAATTTCGGTATTTATCTCTATTTTATTTCCTAAAAAAATAAGGAAAGCATTAATTTATGCTAATTGCGATATGTTTTTTTGATTTTTTTATAAACATTTTGGTTTAGTTTAGGTTGATGAAAATAATGGTGTTAATGATTTTTTTTTAATAAAATAAAAATGAATGCCAAAATTATGTTCAAGTACTCGAAGACTAAAATGAAAATCCAACCTTTTAATGCATTTTTTCGCGTTGGGGCTTTATTTTATTTTCAAGACTTTACTTTTAGTAGAAATAATGCTTTTAAGATTTATTTTCGTTTATTTATACCATGGTGCAGCTCCATTTATAATAAAATTAAACTATTGCCGTAAATAGGCCATCTTAATATGATAGCTATAGCATATTATTATGGCAAATAAATATATTTAGGATCATATTAAGATAGCATAAGAGGATATTAGGATGGAATTAAGATGATCATAAAATAATATATTTACCATTATAAGATTATTTATTTGCCATACATGTACCAATTTAGGATCATATTAAGATGTCATAAGAAGATATTTAAGTGATATTAAGATGATCCTAAAATAATATATTAACCCTTATAAGATATATATTAATGGCCGATATAAAAACTTTTGATGGTCTTATGATAATTGTATTAAGTTTGCCTATTGATGGTCACAAAGTATAGTTATTAAATTGAATCTATTAATGGTATTTAAACGGTCTTAATGTCCCCTATTTTACTGCGATATCTTAAATAAGGTTATTAAGAATCTTAAAGATGGTCTTAAATTATTTTTCTCGGTGTACAATAATTGCTATAAAAATTTCAAATTGATATCCTCAGCCGTTCTCCGTAAACGTCTAAGGTACCATCGCTGGTGAGACACCCTGTATATATATATACATATATATTTATAAATATATTTAGAAAACTATAGATATATTTCTAGATTTCCTACCTAAATCGCAAGATACTTTAATATTTTATTTATAAATAGTTAAAAAGGATATATTTTTTATGTTTTACCATGGTAAATTAATGCATTAATTTTAAGTTACATTTTATTTTTGTTTTTACTAAATTAATGTTTGTTGTTAAATATATATTTTGAATTTAAGCCTTTTAGCAAAGATACCAAAACTATAGTTATTATAGAAATACTCTTTCTTATAAGATTAGTCAAACTTCTTTATACAATAATGAAAAAATATGTTTGATTCATTTTTTCATTTATAACGCATTGTATATAATATTAGACCATTAAGTAATACTTTACTCAATGATTAAACATTATTGTAATAAAATAAGTTTTCCAAAGATTTTTATAAAATGGTTTTTTTGTGCAGAACAAGTAAAGATTTCCCAAATAGGCCATTTCTAATCTAAACAGGTGGTAGTAACTTTGGTGTCCATAACAGAATTTCCGACTGGTAGTAACTTTTGACTCAGTGGCTGCAGTTCCGACCAGTAGGAACTTTAGTCTTGAAGACTTAAGTTCCTACTGGTAGTAACTTTTGACTCAGTGGCTGCAGTTTCGACCAGTAGGAACTTTAGTCTTGAAGACTTAAGTTCCTACTGGTAGGAACTGTAGACAGTCCCTTATAATAATTTGAGGTTTAAACTACTATTAATATGAAGGTGATATATAAAAATTATACGCTTAAAAAAATATGCTACCAAATGTTGTAATTATGCTATATGAGTATCTATAAAAACAATAAAGAAATCATAGACAAACGTCTATGATTAAAATGAAAACAGATTTTGTTCATTTTATTTATTTAATCACTTTAATTAAGGATTAGTTATAATAAAAAAACAGTGTATGAAAAAAGTATATTTGATAATAAAATATAGAAATAATGATACAATAAATTTAAATAATAAAAATTCCATTCAGTATATTGAAAAACAAATTAGTAAAAATGATATTAAAACACATTTAAAGTAAGGTAATACCAAAACATTCAAACATAAAGACTAGTTAAATGATTGATGACAAAGTATAAATGGTGCCTTAAATATTAATTGGTTGACCAAGAAATCTACTTCAAACATTGCATAATAGAATTATTATGCATTTTATAGTTTTTCTTGATAAACATATGAAATCAAATTGAGCTAGACTAACAACAGTCTTTGTTCCTGGCTGGAATGTACTACAAAAATGGCAAATTTCGTATAAGTAAAAGTTTTTAAGTCTAATGCATGTGTAGAGATTCTAAATAAATTTGTGTCTAAATAAGTCTTTTTTCTCTCATTCTTATACATGCTTTAATATTAAAAAAAAAACATTTTTACTTATAGACATAAATAGACAGGATGCAAAGGTTGAGCAAAATAAATATGGAATTATACATTCATTTTCCTATTTGGCACAGTAAAATTAATATTTGTGAGGCACATAATACAGTAAAAATAAATAATAATCACAATAAATAGCACAAAATAAATGTTGGATATATAGCTTGTTTATGTCCTAAACTTTGAAATATTTATCAGAAAAATCACTAAACATTGCTTACATTTAAAAATAAGTAAAATTATTTTAAACTAATTTGTTTAGTATTTCATTATGTCATGGACACTGTCCATTGGTTATTTTTTAATCTACTAGTGTTAAAAATAATGGTTTACTTAAATTGTTAAAAAATGCGTTATTTTCTACAATTTAAATTTTAGACATAAACAAACTTTGTTATTGATTATTATAAATATCAGATTTAATAAAATTTATATATTTTTAATAAAGAAACAAATTTGGTCATGCGTTGTTAGTATTAATGAAAACAAATATAATAATAATAATAGTTAACCCTAAGTCTATAACTAAAATTTTTTTAATTGATTTTTATTACTTGATTTATATTAATATTACTTTAAAATAAACAATATAAAATATATACTTGAAGTATAAAAATACATCTAAACATCTAATCACAATAAAGTCATCACATAATGCTGCAAGAGCTTTTAAATAACAGTTCAATCAAATTAATTTAGGGCAGCCTTATTAATTGTTTTTATTGTACTGGAGTACAATTAATTATAAAACATAATTTAATTGAGCAATTAATAACTTCTTGCCATAGAATATATTGCACATTAAATGCAAAAATAGAGCTCTAAATCACAGAATTTGCTTTTTGGTTTGCAGCGTATGTGCTGTTTAAAAAAATATTTAAAAACTGTGATAAAGCTTCTTATAAATACATAAACATAAAAAAATTATATGTACATATTTACAGTGTGCCAGCATGAACAATACAACACATACAAAATTCAATTGAATCCTTAAAATTAATTAAAAATGTGTTAAAATATTAACACACTGTATGTAAAATTATCTTGGTTATAATTGTTAAAAACTATGAATTTGTTGTCTGTCTTTAGAAAGTGGATGAGAATGAAAATCTTTGTGAACTAGCTATCCATAAAAAATAATTTACAACCTGAGAATCTCATTAAAAAAAGAATTCTTTGAGAACATTCATCATTGTGATTTAGGCTCTGAACACATGTGTACATACTACAAACTTGCTAGGCGGGCATGTATATTGCCAAATTATTTTAGCAAGTTTGCCGGCATGTTAATATCATGATTGGAAAAATATACATTTGAAATTAGACAACTTCCATAATGTATATTTTACCTGTACCGTCTACAGTCAAAAAGGAAGTGAACTCTGGCGATGCCGATATCAATTTTGCATATTGCTCGTGTGATTTGACGCAAGCTATCAAATACTGATCGTTTTTGAAACGTTGTTTACTGGACCAGTAGAGAGAGTTCATTGTGCTCCTTTCCTGCAAATCTTCGTCTACTGATGACTGTGTTTTAAATGACCTCCCACTAAAAAATATGCTTAATAATAAGGTTTAGGTTAAACATTTCATTTGCGTTAACTTTATTGGTTATAGGCAGCGGATAAAAATGCGTTCATCATAATATCATTTAAGTCCATCACTTTTTGTAGAATGTTTTTATATTATAGATTATATTCAAGGTGTCCCTAAACTTAGTGGCATACATTTGGGAACAGGTTGAGCAAGTCAAAATAAGATGAAAACCTAAATAAATATTTTTCCTAATTGCGTGTTTCCAAGATACAGGGTGATAAAGTGTTACTTATCATTTAACTCAATGTTTATGAAATAATAGCACTTCTCTGCTTTTTGTTTTTATTTATTTATTTAAAAAACCCGACTAGTTTCGGTTATTATTAACCATCTTCAGGGGTCTCTACAATAGTAAAATACACTTATTATTGAACAAATTATTAAAATCATAGTTAAAATTACTTACACGTCAAAATTTCTTTAAAATACACAGATTAACAAATACTTATACATTTTTTTGATTTAAAACTTTATAACTATGAGGTGTTTGTAAATTATTATATTAAAACCGTAGATAGAATGTAAATAAAATTAATTTTAAACGAGCATTTTAGGGTTATGTTATGTCTTTATATATACTGGTTGTTTCTGTTTTTGTATGTACTGGTTGTTTCAGATATTTAAATATTGGTGTATAATATAGGTTCACTTGTTCGTTAAGACTTTTATATTTCTTGTCTTGCGCATGTTTATCAATTTCCATTGCTTCCAATAAGGTTAGTTTATAGTTTTTATCTTGAATATGTAGGATTTTTACTTCTTCTTTTTTATTAAATTCGTGTTTTTCTTCTATGAGATGGTTGCCGAAATTGGAATTTTTATTTTTAAGGTGTTCTTTGATTCTGGTTTCGAAGCTTCTCCCTGTTTCACCTATGTATACAGCATTGCAATCTTTGCATTCAAGTTTGTATACTCCGTTCTTTTGTAATAAATTTGTTTGGTCTTTGGCGTTTATAAGGCTGTTGTAAATTGTTTTTTCTGTTCTTATTGCGGCTTTTAGGTTGTATTTTTTAAATATTTTGTTGATATTATTTGTGAGTGGACCTTGATAGGATATTTTTCTATATTGGTAAGTTGTTTTTTCATTATGTTGTAAGTTAATTAGTTTTAATATGTTCTTCATTTTTATTCTTTGTTGAATTTTCATTATTGTTTTTTTATTGTATCCATTTTCTTTTCCAATCTGTAGTATTATATTTGTCTCTTTTTGTCGTTCAATGTTAGAAATAGGTATGTTGTTTAACCTATAGAACATGCTGTAAAAAGCGGAGTATTTATGTTGGCAACAGTGGAAGGAGTTTTGTGGTATAATTGCACTTCATGATACATGATTGCACTTGTTGTGGTTGGTTTTCTGTATATATTAAAGCTGTAATTTGAGGTGTTTCTGTTTATGGTTACATCTAAAAAGTTGATTTTTCTTTCAGTTTCTTTTTCTATTGTGAATTTTATGTTTTTGTGTTGTGTGTTAATGTATTTGTGAAATTCATTTAATTTTTCTTCAGTCCCAGTCCATATACATAGTATATCGTGTATGTATCGTTTCCAGAGTTTAATATGTTGTGAATATTTATTTGTTGTTTCCAGTATTTTCTTTTCTATATGGTCCATAAATATATTTGCAAGGAGGCATGCATTTGGGGCTCCCATTGGTAAACCATCTGTCATTTTATATATATTTTTGTTAAAAGTGCAGTATGTTTGTTCTGTGGTGTGTCGTATAATAGTTTTTAAAATAAGCTTTGTCATTTTGGTCTAGTATTTTTTCTTCTATAGTTGTAAATATAATGTTAAGTGTTTCTTGGATGGGTATATTTGTATATAGGTTGGTTACATCGAATGATATTAGTTTGTGATTTTCGTCTGGTTGTATCTGTTTTAGTATATTTACTAGTTCTGTTGAATTTTTAATTGTATATATTGGATTAAACTTTATAATTTCGTTTATAGTTGTGAGTGAAAATTTGTTCAACAGATATGTTGGCGAGTTGACGAATGATACAATTGGTCTGATGGGATAGTCTATTTTGTGAAGTTTAGGTTGTCCGTATAGTTTAGGAATTTGTTGTTTCACAATTTTTTATTATGGCTTTTGTTTTTGCTATTATACTGTTTAATGGATTTTTATCTAATTTTATGAAATTATTGTTGTTAATAAATGTTGTTGTTTTGTTTATGTATTCTGCTTTATCCATTAAAATAATTCCGGCGTTTTTATCTGCTTTTGTGATAATTATATCATGTTTTTTAATTCTTTTTTTAAGATTTTGTATGATATGTTCCTCGTTATTTTTTATTTGTGGTTTATTGTTATTTTGTTGTAGTTTTCTTTCTTCATTCTTTAGGAATTGTATGCATTCGGATCTAAGTTCTTTTTCTTCTGGTATTCCTCTTATTGCTGTATCTATTTCTATAGCTGTCATATTTAGTTGTGGTTTTGTTGTTATTGCATATTTAAGTCCTTTTTCCAGTAGGGGATTCGGCATAGGGGTAGAATCGGCACCTATTTATTTTTGGGATATTTTTAAACTTGGCGAGTTAATTTTGATATTGCAAGTTGGTAATAGTGTCGTGATGCCAATTGTGTAGTTTTAAGACAACAGCGTGAATAGTTTTGGTGCTGGATAATTTTATAATTTTTTGACAAAAAGGTAAGATATTATGCTTAGTTAACTTTCTTGATTATATTTATTTTTATTCAACTTTTGTATGCTTTCAACGCGTCAATTGTATGTTGTAATCAGTTGTATAACTTAGTAAACATATATCCTTTAAACTTATGCTGTTTTGCTGTAGATGCCTTTGTAAAAAAAAAATGTTACTTATTATATCAGTTTTTTAATATAACTTCTAGTATGCTAGACTTGGAAAGGTCACTTACTACCAATACACATTAGGGTGCTTTAAAAAATAAAATTTAATTTTTTTTCGCTCTTACCCTCTCAAATGTTTCTATTTAATATAAAAAAAAATCCTCACCAAATATGGGTGTTCCAGCAAGGCAAAACAAGGCAGCAGGGGGGGGGCAAAATGGGGTACCCAAAAAATGAGCATATGAAAAGTTTTCCAAAATTGTACCATCCTTTTTCTCGCTCTACAGGCTCAGAATAATTATTTTTGGCTAAAAGCGTAGTGAGTCAATATATTTTCAAATAATTTAGAAACGGAAAACAACAATCTAAAAAAATTTTTTGGGTACCCCATTTTGCCCCCCCCGCTGCCTTGTTTTGCCCCATTTCACCTCCCGTCTGCTAATTGTAAGATAAAATTAAAAAACCAAGAAAATTTGATGTTAATCAAACTTTGACCACAAATAACTCTAGAAGAAATCAATTTATCGAAAAATAATAAGAGACCTTTTTTGTAGAGCGTTACATTTTATATAGAAACTGCAATGATCATTGCCATAAGTTACTTTGATACAGAGGTATAAAATTCCAAACATAAAATTATTTTTTCCCATGTGAATTCAATGGGAAACTAAAATAAAAACAGCGACCTCTTAGAGTTGAGCTGGAACGCCCATATTTGGTGAGAATTTTTTTCATATTAAATAGAAACATTTGAGAGGGTAACAGCGAAAAACAAAATTAAATTTTAATTTTTAAAGCACCCTAATACACATATTCACACATAATTACAATTCTTTGAGTAAACAGTGTCGTAGAAACGGGGGTTGCCTAAGCTTATTGTCCCATACAAACTTTGAGATTTTTATAACATTTAATCCAATTTTTTGATTACGCAGTCATTATGTTTTTTGTAATTGCAATTATTTTTAAAATAAATATTATTATTATTATTTTAAGTAATACATTAATTTTAGAAATATTTGTTTGTCAAAATTGTTGGGGAATTATTTCCAATTTAAAATACACTGTATGCCACCAATACCAATGATCTTTTTGCATACATTTAAATTTAATATTGTCAAAGCAAAATGTACTTACGTCCTCTGAAATTTCTTTAAGTTCCACCAAGCAATCTGATCACCCAAACTAACTAGAATTGGTTCTAATCCCGGTGAAAACAGAAGATATTCAACTGGTGTTTCGTGCAATTTCAATGTGATAGATTTATATTTATTTACAGTATTCCATACCTACGAAAAATAATCGAATAATTTAATATTTCCTCGATAAGTTATACATTTTTTACCTGTATATCGCCAGACTTCATTCCGATAGCCAAAATTACTCCGTCAAACGAGTAACAACTAAAGTTGGGTTGGCCATCTACACTGATTGTTTTAAAAACGTTAATATCGTTATAGGAAACTTTGTATAACTGAAGAAAATAGTTTCCTTCTCTAAGAAAAGTAAGGGCAAGATGCTTTTTGCTTGAGCAAATAGTGGCAGTGATTACATCTAAAACTTCGGTATTTTTGTACCAAACATCAACCTCATTTTCAGTTAAATTCCAAGACGATATGTTACCGTTACCTTCGACAACAAACATGAGATTATCTTGTTTAAAAAAGAGTTTTGGCTTTGAAAACGACTGAGTGATTTTTTGAGGCCAAATAGTGCAGGTCGAGCCTAGGTCATCTTTCGACACAATCAAGTAACTCTTTTTGTTCTTAACGCATCCAAACAACTCGATGTACGAGATTCTGCCTTCGACAGCGGTAAGCAGCCTGTCATTTTTGTTCTTTAATTGAAACAGCCTGACCTCGCCGCTCTCTAAACCGTACACCACGTGGTCCGTATCACAAAATTTCGTGTACGTGATATTGTTTTTGATCTCGGGCGTTTGCGCAATCATTTTGTAATCCTGGTAGATTTCGATTTTCTTATTTTTGCCTCTGACAGCCGTTAGAGGACGCGCTTTGTTCCACCAGCAGCTGAACTCCGGGAATTTGCTGTTAATCCTGATTTCTTCTTGCAGTTTGATTTCGCATTGTTGAAGCGTTTTTCTGTCGGAACTTATGAGCAGAACGTGCGCCGAGTTTTCGTCGTCGTAGAATGTGTCCAGAGATTTTGTCAATCTTGAATGATAAAAAAAAATATTACAAACATAAAATACTCAGATTCAGTCGGGGAGACCGGGGTAGAACGGGGTACCGGGGCAGAACGGTGTTTTATTTAAATTTCCCGCTGCAGACGATCAATAGTACTATCGCCCTTTATTATCATTTACTAGAAGGCCAACACGTCAGTTGGTAATGACAAACGGGTTACTACAAACGTTTTAGTGTGTTTTAGACTAAACTTGAAATTTTATTTAGTTTTATAACTTTTCGATATATATATTGTATATACCCATTTTCAGCTTCATTTGAGGGTTGTATTTTATGCACACAGTGCCAATAGTGGACTCACAATTCATGTGCGGGGATAGAGAGTAATGACGACGATGCAGAACTTGACTGTGAATTGTGTAAGCCTGATAACCCCATTGGGAATGGAGTACAGGACACTTTTTTTTAATACGATAATAATTTTTTTTTTGTATTTTATTTATAATACTTTAATAAATCTTTCTGCTTTTTTTGAATTTGTACCACGTCTCTACCCGACTAAAAATAATTTTTAAACGTTCCATTCCGCCCCGGTCTCCCCTACTTGCATTACTGGTTAAAAACAAGATAATTAAATTATTAATGCTACTAATGAAAACAGATTTAACCTTTGGCCTTATCATTTTCGTTGCTATTATTTTATAAATTAGGACTTGTTTTTAAGTTTTATTAAGAAAATTTTTAAATTTACAAACAATGTTTTCCTATAAACTCGACTGTTTTTGAAATTTATTATTAAAACAAAAGGAAGCCACCAAAAATTTAAAGTCTATTAATTTCACAGACGAAGTAAATAAAAACTAAACTAAAACATTAAACAGGGTTGTATTTGAACATTCCTTTTGTCAACAACTCGGCAATAACAGAAAAATAACGATATATATATGTAAAATTCGGTATAATTTAATATTATGTTGTTATACCGTACCTTCATTTGCAAGCTAACCATAGGGAAAATACATTGTAACTGGACCAGAGAAGTCTTAGTCAGCACGAAGCGAAAAACGTTGTAGAAATGATTTGGACGCGTGGACGAGTACACTAGCATGCGCCGTAACAGTTGACCTTGCTTCATACATCGATGCTTTATTATTGTTTTTTATTTTGTGCGGTGTAAATCTGGTAAAATTTGTTTTAGTACGCATGTCTCGACGACGCATCCAAATCATTTCTGAAAAGGTTCTCGCTTTGTGTTGACAGCGACTTATCTGGTTCAGTTACAATGTATTTTCCCTATGGTTAACTTGCAAATGAAGGTACGGTATATAACAACATAATATTAAATTATACCGAAAAAAGTGACAGATACATAACACCAGTAATTAGGTTTGTCCCGCTTTTTCCTTTGCAAGATCTGGCAACCCTGCATTTAATCTAAGCGATTTTAGTGTAAAAGGTAGCCTCCTTGTTAACTAATTTTTAAAAAACGTTAAATATATGTTGTCCAAGAACTCGCGCCACAGAGAAAAACGAAACGTGCCGAAAGTTATGCGAAACACATACTTACTTGAAAATTAAAATTATCCAATGCAAAGGATAAGCGAGATAAGAATAAAAAACGATAGCCAATCCCAATACATGGCCATAGGGAATTATTTAAATTGCTAGGATACTTTGGATGCATTGTTGATATTATAATATGTAAAATATTTGGTCAATTTGATCCTGTCATTATTTATCATTTTAAGTTATTTTTCCTCTGATTATGCCGACATAATGATTATTTATGGGGAGTATGGGCGCAATGCTAGGAAGGCAGCACGAGTTTTTTCCAACGCTTTCCCGATCGTCTCCTGGACTGTTAAGTTGTTCTGCGTTTTAACGAAATTAAAGGTGCTCCTTAACGTATTAGAACAGCGAAAAATAAGGAAGCTATTTTCAATGCAAATAGAAAAAGAGCATAAGGGAAGTTGCACGCGAATTTTTCACAGTTCAGAGGGTTATGAAGAGTTTAATTAGTCTAATAAGTATGAAATTCCTTTTTGAAAGGTCGGACACAAGATTTTTAAAAAATTTAAAACAGCAATGTCATATAGCCTCCTAGCAATTTTTAAAGCTAAGTTTAACCTAGACGAGAGCTCTCGGTATTGGCTGCCCCTTTTTTGATCTCATTTGATTAAACTATTAGTAGAATTTTTTATTTTTAAATTTGGCATCTCCGTTGCTATCAGCACGCCCTCTTTTTCTTTGTGGCACGAGTTTTGGGACACCCTGTATTACGTAAAAACAGGAAATCACATGTATCAAAAAATTATTGTTTGTACTTACCCCCAATAATAAAGAACATCAATACTCTTATGCTGCCTATTGTCCCATATACACAAAGAGTTACCCAGCGTACTTATAATTAAGTACTGCGAATCGTTGGTTAGAATGGCACACACGCTGTCCTCGTCCAAATTGTACACGCTTTTCTTGAACGGCCCGAAAAAGTTCCAAACGAATATCTGCCCGCCGATCAGCCCGATAATTTCGGGCGAATCGTTGGGCGTGCAAACGAACACCGCTCTTGGCACATCGGTAGTGTGTAGCTGCATCACGTAGTCGAGGCTGGCGTCCTTGTAGCCAAATATGAAAATACTGGTATTTATGATGCACACGATGTGCGGATTGCAGTCCTTTAGTTTAACGAAGAGCAGATTGGCGACCGGATAGCCTCGACGTTGTGCCGTCGAACATATTTGTTGCATTTTTTCTGTATTCCAGATCGTTATTACGCCCTTGTTGGTGCCGATGGCGATTTCGTTGAGGGAGTTTGGCGAAAATGCCGCCGCCACGCAGTAGTCTTCGATGTCGTTTAATTTGAACACTTTTGGGTCGTCGTTTGACTCGTTTATAATTATGCTTTTCCAGTCTCTTTGCTTATCTTTGGGATCTAAAAAACAAAGAGAATATGGTGTAAAATATAAACAATGTCCTTAAAGTTTTTTGCGATTTTAAAAGATCATAACTCATTAATTACACCCGCAACAAATTTCGTTTTTAAATTTAAAATAACTCAAATAAAGACTGCGCTGCATTTAAAAGAGTGTGCTTGTGATGGAGGTCCTCCTTACGAAAATCACGGGTGAAGATGCGTGAAAGCCTATTACAAAAACAACAATTTTGTATAGCCGCGCGGAGATTTTTCTCGGATCATCATGGCTTACCACACATTAATCGTGCTCTATCAGTAAAATAATTAAGAGATTTGAGGAGACGGGTATCATAACGCCAAAAAAAGGAAAGAGGCCCCTGTAAGTGCTCATTCATAATGGACGTAACCATAAGGTGTCCGTAAGAAATACGCAAAACGTAAAGTTCAATATTAACAAAACTAGGTGCCTGTTTATAATGAGTAGCCGTAATTTTTACGTTTTACGTTCGAACATAAGATCTTATGGGTGACCGTAAAAAATACGTAAAGTTGAAATGAACTCAACTTTACGGGTTTCTTATGTGTGAATTTTAGTAATTTTCATGATTTCACTAGAACATTGTTGGTAGCAATCAGGCTGCCATGCAAACAGATGATGTTTTTCAAGTGTATTCTGATGTATCTAAAGAACCATTCCTCATCGTGAAATTTTAGTTTGAGTATTTTATTCGACGAAATTCGCCCTTTTTTTCTCTGTCCCTATTCACTGGTCTACACTCCACCAACGAGGTTTCCGTTGCTTCTTCTCTTTGCCAACAAAAGGAGAAGTAATTCTACATATATATCGCTCATTACACTAAGGTTATGATAACACTGATAGTTTTAAGACATAATAATTAGACGAAAGCTTTCAATGCTGTCAATTTAGTGAACTTGGATATGCGCGCCTTATTAATATATATATTAATATACAGTGCTTGCAAATCCAAGTCCGACCGGTTTGGGGAGGACGCGTGAAAATAACAAGGATAGAACGCCAAACAGAAGGCGCTTACAATACGCACGCCTGACGCTCTGACCAATCAAATTCTGTTTGGCATTCTATCCTTATTCTTTTCACGCGGGTATTGAACAACCATCCTTTCCAACGCGGTCGGACTTGGATTTGCAAGCACTGTATATATATATATATATATATATATATATATAAGGCATACGTTCATTATAAACACAGCTGATCGTTACGTACAAATTATGGTGATATTATGTTTCCGTTTTATGGACATCTTATGGTTACGTCCATTATGAATGAGCACTAAGACCATTGACCACCAGAAAACAATGGGCAAGTACAAGAAGCTTTTATGATTTACCAGCGCCTTTGTTTTCATAAGCATTCAGTTGCGCTGCATTTATCAAATTCTACTGTTTAAAAAAACGGGACAAGTTTCCTTATTAATATAGTGGATTTTGGTAAAAGCAGGGCAGCTGAATGTTTACTAATCAAGATATAATTATATACGGTCATATTTTATTGTATAGTTGTACAGAATAACAGTTTTCCCATGTTGACTGTTATATAAAATTCTATATACAAACGCGCTCTTTTAGTTCCACCCTTACTTCCTAAGAAGTCCCAGAAGCCACGGTTGAGCGTCGGTTTTGCGTCATAAAAGATGATTTTTCAGTTTGTGTTGTGAGATAAGCGAGTAAATAAGCTATAAACTATATTTAACTCATGTAAATTCATTAACCAAGGTGGTTGAAACTTTTACCAAGTAAGTAACGTAGATTTGTACTGTAACTGAGATAAAGAAAGTTACTGACGAAATACTACTAAGCAATATATAAGGGGCCGTTTACATATTAAGTCCAGCGATTTGTGAGCTTTTTGGCCCCTTCTTCCTGGTTTTCAACAAAGTCACCAAACGTGCCACCCCCACACCCCCTAATGACGTCTCAAATTTAATAATAAGAAAATTAACTAAATCATAAACTCGATAAATACAATAAGGAAATTTATTAATGAAATTCTTAATTCTTAATTATTTTTAAGGTTTTAAAACAAATAAAATTAAACAATTTATGAAATTAATAGTAATATTATTATACGAGAGATAATGCAGGATACAATCTACAAGGAAGAGGTTTGCATCTCAAGCCATTAGGCAAGAGACGTAATTCATCCAAGTAAATAATGCGCATTATTTCGAGTGCAATACTATGCTTTTTCTACTCCAATTAAGTAATTTCATTGATAACAAAATTTATTATATCCTCACATTTCCCCGATTTTAAAGATCAATATAGTCGCCCCTCGTATATATAAACAAATCTGACATCTGTTAACCTTACTTTTTCCCAATTTAAAATCCGATTGGTTCAAATAACAGTGAATATTAAAATCAGCCAATCACTGATGCCTAACAACGTGAATAATAAGTACATTATTCACGTTGTGTTGGTTACCATTATTTACGGAAATAACCCAAATAATGTCAATAATATGCAATAGGAGTAGAAAAAAATCAATATAGCTCTACTTATTTTATTGTATGCACACTGTATATAATTCTATACAATTATATCCAATTATTTTTTATCGGGTCAGCACTTTATCATGTTTACCAATGTTAAATAAATTACTTGAAAAGAGCGGAAAAGTTTAGAAAAAAAATGTGTAATATGATTTTAAAAAAGTGAACTTTATACAGTTTGGCTCTGATAGAACAAACGTCCTTTGATTTTATAAATTCAAATTTAGACTTAAATTTATAAATGCTTCCCTAAAAAAACATGTACCTACATTTCAAATAGTAAGACTAGTTTCAACTGGTTTAACAATGAACTCAAGAACATGAGAAACACCTCAAATTTTCTCAGAATTACTCGAACAAAAAAAAAAGATTTTAGAATTAAATATAAAAAAGCAATATTAAATGCAAAAAAAGTTTAATAATAACAATAAAATTAAAAAATCAAAAAATCCTATTAAACTATTAACAAAAAAAGGAGGGGAGCTCATGTAATTTGTAAAATTTCAGCCAATATCATGAATTCTTATTTTGTTAATATGGCTGATAATATCTAAAACAATTTAAATGTAGTCAATTCCACAGTTAACCTGGACAAAATTCAAACACCAAAATAACAGTTTAATTTTAAGGAAGTCATTTATATTGAGGTTCTGGACATAATTTCTAATATTAAATGAAAAAATAGCTGCGATGTCTATGGTTTAAATATAAATTTAAAAAAAAATGTAAAATATCTAATATCTGGTTCCTTAGCTAAATTAATAAATGTGTTTTTTATCTGCAGTTTCCGGGTGTTCTGAAGGCCCTTGTCGTTCTTGTTTACAAGAAAGGTGATGCTGAAGACCCCAGTAATTACTGACCAATATCAATATTACCAATTGGGAAATGTATTGCAAATAAAATGGTTGTTTTTTTTTAGAATAACAATATTTTCTGTGATTATCAATATGGTTTTAGGAATTGCTATTTTACAAATGGCCAAATCCATAAATGAGTCGTTTAACAGTAACAGACTTGGTTTAAACAAAGAAAAGCACAAAGTCTTATTTTTCTTTAAGACCTATAAATGATCGTTACCCACTAAGCCCAGTTAGGCTTCTGGGAATCTTATTAGACAACAAATTTAGATGGAATTGCCATATTGATGCGTAATCCAAAAAATTAAGCAACAATATATTAAATTTTGTCAAGAGTAATTTAGTTGGAAGTATCTAGTGATCTACATAATGCATACTATTCGCTATTTGAGTCACATATATCTTACGATCTAATTGTTTGGGGTCCCTCTTCGGAGTGTTATAAAATATTCGGTTTCAACGCAAGATAGTAAGGATCATCGCCCCTCTTGGTTATAGGGAAGACTGTAGAGCTATGTTTAGTAATCTTGGAATCTAACAGTACCCTTCTTATATATTCTTCAGAATTTACTTTATGTTAAAAATAATTTGAGTTTGTACCATAGCCATGATAGTTTACATAACTACAATACAAGAAATAAAAATCAGCTTTTAAATCAATTTTCCAGGCTCAATAAATGCCAAATTGGTCCTGATTTTAACGGAATCAAAACTTTCAATCAACATAAAAGTATGGCTTTTAAGGAATTTAAATTATATTTAAAATCTTTTTTGTAAGAAATGGGTTTTATTCTGTAAACTAGTATTTTGAGTACCAGTTTTAATGTTGTAATTATATTATTATATTATTAATTTATTATGTATGATGTACAAATCAAACAAACAGTAACGAAAATACAGCGCTTCAAAGTCGTCAAAAATGACTGTTTGATTTGTACACAATTTTCAGGGTATACTAACAAAAATACGGTCTTTAACCGCATATTTTTTATTTACTTAAAAAAATTCCCTAAAAGTTATTTTTCGAACGTTTTTTTATTATTAAATAAAAGGAATTTAAAAATATTTTCTCGAAAAACCCTCTAACATGTAAACTTAGATATAAGTTGAAGTATTTTTATACAAAATTTCATAGATTGGTAAAGGCGTTTTAGAGTTAAAATTTTTTGTACTTTATTTAAATTTTATTCATTTGCCTTTCTTTCCTACTTTATTTGACGTTGTAAACAATTTGTATTGTATTAGCACTAATAAAGATTATTAAATTACCTGCTTTACTACCATGTGCACTTAAATCCCAGCTCTTCCTTGTATTTGATTTTAACTTCCATACTCTCACGGTGTGATCCTCAGATATGGACAACAGTTGCGTTTTATTACTGTTTAATTTTAAACTAATTATTGTTTTTGTATGTCCATTTAGGGTGGATACTTTACGTTCATTTATATATTTCTAAAACAATATTTTGTTTTTAAAGATAATTAGGTTAACTTTCAGAAAAGCAAATGATTTTAGATTTCCCTTAAATTTCCTTTAGCCATTAAAAATTACTTACTTCAATATTTCCATTACTGGTCCCAATAAATATTTCATTGGCATTTGAAAAACAAGCAGCTGTTATGTCTTGATCAGTTTTAAACTTGTAAGAAGATCTTTTTACATCCCTTGGATTTCTAAAGAAAAAAATATAATTTTAATTACGCGAATTGGTTTAAAAAAAGGAAATAACTTACTTTAGTTTAAAATATGGATAGGAGGGATTCGATGTGGCAATAGCCAATGCATCATTATAAACGTGAGAAGCGCTTTTCTCTTGCAAAGCAAATTGTATTATATCTGTTTTGTCGTTGTAAAAAATATCGGGACCAAAACGTTTTATGAAGTGACGGTAGTCGTTTAGTTTTTTGTCGTCTATATTCTACAAAAAAAAAACAATAAAATACTTAATATTTTCAGGACATGGGAAAACAATAATAAGATTGCAGATTGCAAGCAGCATGTTTTGTAACATAACATTATAATAATTTTTTTCTAAAGTTTTGTCAGTTAAAGTTTGATTGCTTTTACAAAAATCCGTTAACATAGCAATAATTAATTAACTATTTTGGGCGAAAAATGCCTTAATTATGTTGTATGTGTGCTTTATGGGCTAGTGGAATAATTGACTCATTTTTCTTTAAAGACAATGACGGTCAGAACGTTACCGTCAATGAAAGCATGAAACATAAGAATATTTATCGGTTTTTTTTATGAGTACTGATTTTTACATGAATTTTAAAATTCCAAAGTTAAAAGATCAAAATGTAAAACTATACCAATGTTTAGGGCATGATTTTAAGGAAACGGTTCATCTGACGAAAAATTTCATTTAACCTTTTTTGTAGAGCATTTAATTTTCTTAAAAAATTATTTTTAAGTAAATTTTGTTAAACTCAATGGTTTGGGAGTTCTGAGACAAAAACTTGATGAGGGAAAAAAAAATTAAAATTGCGATGATAGACCTCTTAATATTAATATTATGGACTCAAACTTTCACAATAATTTTTTTTTGTCGCCCCAAACCATATTTTCGATATACTTTTCAAAAAAAAATATTTGATTTTTTTGGCCCAGTCTAATGTTCACGATACCAAAAAAAGACACCTGTAAAAACCGGAGCTCTTCATTTTAATATTTAGAAGTCGCGCATCGACAATTTCTATTTCCCATTTAAATAACATGGGAAATTTTGTTTTGTTTCTTTATAATTTTCTAGCTCACAAACTAATAAAACAAGATTTTTAAGCGCGATATAATATATTATATTCTTGTGGGAAATTGAACGCTCTACAAAAAATGTCTCTTATCATTTTTCGATAAACCAACGAGTTTCAAAAGTTATTCAAAGTCGAAGTTAAATTTATATCATAATTGCATGTTTTACTTCAATTTTAGGCAAATTTATTAGTTAGTTTTTATCAAATATAAAAAAAATCATTCAAAAAAATCAAAATTATTCTTTTTGATTAATTAAAATCCTTTTTAATGAATTATTTCCAAAAATAGTGGGTGTTTCAGTGAAATTAAATTAAAAGGCTTATTGAACATAGTAATTTTGATTTTTTGAATGATTTTTTTTATATTTGATAAAAACAAACTAATGAATTTGACTAAAATTGAAGTAAAAAATGCAATTATGACAAATTTAACTTGAATAATAATAATAACTTGAATAACTTTTGAACTCGTTGGTTTATCGAAAAATGATAGGAGACATTTTTTGTACAGCGTAAAATCTGTTAATTAGTGTGTGAGCTGGAAAATTATAAAGAAACAAAACAAAATTTCCCATGTTATTTAAATGGGAAATAGAAATTCTCGATACGCGACCTCTAAATATTAAAATTAAGAGCTCCGGTTTTCTTTTTTTGGTACCGTGAAAAAATTTCAGTGCGAAATTTTAAGAAAAAATAATAGTTGATTTTTTTGAACCAGCCTAATGATCACAAGATGTAGTCATACATATTTTAATGTCATGTTCTTTGTGTTGCATCATGAAATATTTTAATAATTTTAAAATCCTTACCCCTTTGTTTATATACAAAGCATAATTCTCCATATCCCTTAGAACATCAGCATGACCTGCAGCCCTTATTTTGGCCTCAATAAACTGAAGATTCAAAAATATTCGAAACTTTTCAGTATCATCTGCTTCCTTTAAATGAAATCCGATGTATTGAAGAGTATAATTATCGTTTGGCAAATCAAGATAATTATTATTGGTAACTCTATTGTAAGCTTCGATTAACTTTCTATGCAAATCCCTCCTTTTATCCCTAGTGACTGCTTTAAGGTAGTTTAGAAAAACGTCGTGCACACCGTAGACGTACGATTTATGATCCTTGTGGTAAAACGAAATTACCAAAGAACGGTTCGCGAGTTGCATCATGATATTACGCACTTCAATCATGTTTTTCTGCCAGAGAATTTCAAGTACTTCAGGTGGTATATTGACGTCTTGTTGGAAAATTGAGAGATCATAGAAATATGGTTTGAGATCGTCTTTTAAGTTGTCCACGCAGATTTTAATTGCGTTTTGTAGGGTTTCATCAAACCTGAAAACAAGTTTATTATTAGTTTTATTAACTACAAAAAAAATGTATGAGAAATATTGTATTAAAAGTTTTAACACAATATTTCTAAAAAAAATTTTTAATTTAAAACTAAAATGTTTCCTAAAATTATAGAAGTATGTTAATCTGAACAGGGTGTCCAAAAATGATGAGTAAAGAATATTTCCATCCGAATTTTGCAGGAAATTTTATAAATTTCCGAAATATTCCATCTTAAAAATGCAAATATTTGCATGATTACGAATATTTAAAAAAAATCAAAGTAGTTTTTGAGCGAATATTTCACAATATGTCCACCCGGCAACACCGGCTCATAATCAGCATCACATAACAGATGATCAGAATATTCCGTTACGATTATCAGAATTTTATGTTATTTGTTTTCAGTTTTTAAACCTTATAGTATGCTTAATCAAAGGTAGGTTGTTTCTAAAGATCTTTACTGTCGACACTTAGACTATCAAATGTACATCAGGGACATGCGCAATAATAAAATTTTCGTATTGCGCATGCGATTTTGGTATTGCGCATATCCCTGACGTCTATTCGACAGTCCAAATTTTCGTTATAATGAGTTCATTATACACGGTTGGCATAGATTTAGAAAAGGATTGAGCAAGTAAAAATAAGACGAAAACCTAAATAAATATTTTTCCTAATTTCTTAAGTTTCCAAGATACAGGGTGACAAAGTGTTACTTATTATATCAGTTTTTTAATATAACTTCTACTTATTTTTTTCGATAACACAGTTGGGCTACCATTAAAAAGGTGTACCTCTCAAACTTCGATAAAATAAACCGTTTCCGAGATATTCGAGATTACAATGTTATATTGCATTAAAGGACTAACTATCTTAAGAACGCTAACTTATATACAAAAAAGTTTATATACAAAAGTGCTCTTTTAGTTCCACCCTTACTTCTTAAGAAGTCCCATAAGCCAACTGAATGGCTTGTGCGGGTTAGGGGTAGGAACGGACCGCGGGCTTAAAGTCCCCTCCGAAGGACTATTACACAATAGGACAAACTAGATGCTAGATATAACTGTATTATGAATGGTGACAAAAGCTAGATATAACTATCTCAGGAATGTTAAATTAAGAATTAATTAATAATCTTTGCCAGTTTTTTTAAACCATTTTATTCTTCAATTTTAAATAATATTGTGATTTCACATTAGTTTATAATATTGTAAATCATAATTTGCTGCCAATATTAAGTATAATGGTAAACAAATTTAAATGTGAAATCAAAAAACTATAAGATAACTTTTTTGGTCTATTAAAATACAAAACAAATTGTGATATATATTTAGTGGCGGATTCAAGCATGGGCATTGGTGCAAACCATACTTGTGGCCTATGTACCTTTGCATTCAACTTTACCTTTTTAAATATACTTGACAGAAATAATTGGACATAATTTAATAGAAAACAATTTTAAAAAAACAGAAGAACTAAATACATAAATATGTTTAAAGTTAACTTAATTAATAAACTTAAATAAATTGCTATTTTAAATAAGCTTTAAAAAATTAAATAAAAATTTAAAAAACCCACACTTGTATTGTAGTGTGACTTGTTTATTTTGTAATTTATTGTTTGCAGTTGTCAACATGACCAATACAATCTTAACAATCTTAAACTCCCTAGATCAGAGCTGCCGATTTATTCTTGTTTTAATACAACGCGCAAAGGTACAAACCCAAAAAAGTTAAAAAAAATGTGGGTAGAACTGTCCTAGGCCAAGCCATAACAAGATAATTGGTGATTCACAGAGCAGAAAACGCGTTGCCGCCATGAAAACATCATGTAGTGGCAACGATGTTGCCTAGTTGTCAATATTTTTGTTGGCGTGCCCGTTCATATGTCCGCCCCTGTATATATATTTTTTATAAATACTGACAAAACAATTTTAGTTAAAATTTATTTTTAAATATAAAAATATTCTCAATTTTATTTAAATTGAAATACCTACCTGCAATTTTCATTACCGTGTAAATTAGAAAAAGAATGGGTGATACACCAGTATTAAGATACTTTTAGCTTAGCAGGGCAAAATGTAGTGCACTAATTTCCGGGTGCTGTAAAAATGATAAAATGCGTCGTGAATTAAGCGACCGGCCTTATTTTAAAAGATAAAGTTAACAGGGCAAAATAAAAAATATATACCATACTATAATTTTACATGTAGTAGACCGCATTCGGTTTTTAAGAGTGGGAAAAAATTCTCTTTAAAAACTAAAATAAAAAAATAAAATATGTATCTTAAAAACAAATTAAAATAAATAAATCAATTCTCTGAACACAAACCTAAAAATTAAGCTTCTTAAAATAAATGTAAATAAATTAATTAAATACAATCATTTGTTCTAATTTTCCTCCTTTAATGTGTAGGACTTTATAACTTATGTTAAAACGCTCGAAATACACACTGGCAAATGCCAAACACAACTAAATAGTCGCCTACTGCAACCTGCTTACAATGCATCTGGTATAGTGAATATATTTTATATATGTATTAATGGTTTTTCGGGATCTGCTCCGTGTTGTCGTTTTTTGTTTCTTAAAATAACCGTATGTCTGACGACGTTTCGGTACAATCTCATGTACCATCTTCAGGTCTTATCTGCTGGGCTGCTGTTGCTGCTCTGCTGCGAGTTAGACGTGGAGTGAGCTCCGTTGCCTCTGATCGTTGTTTATATACCCTCTTAGCTTTCCGCGTCATTAGCCGTGACTGCGATTGAACCTGTGTTATGTTCGGCTCCATTGATCTCGTTAATCTGCGTGGCGTTTTGGTTGTTGTAAGAGCTGGTTTCTATGCAGTTGGTAGTCTGTGTATCGTCTCTTGTGTTGAGGTTTCTTAGACGTTTTTCTATTTCAATGGCTTCACGGATGGTACATTTGGTCATGGGTTCGATGCTAGCCAAGACCCTTGTTTTTTCAAATTCAATTTCATGGGAAGTTTTTCCCCTTGTCTATTTTTGGTTTGGCGTTTGGAAGTATTTGACCGATCTTTCTTGGGGCGGTAAATGTGGTCTCAATGTTATGCTTTTTGAGGACTTTGCCTATTCTTTCGGTTGTCCCTTTGACGTAGGGAAGAAAGGCTTTCGAAGTTGGTTTGTTGTTCTCATCCTCTGTGGTATTTAACCGGCGTCGTGGTCTAAGAGGCTTTTTTATGATGGTTTTGGAGAATCCGTTTTTCTGTAACGTCGTTTGGATTTTTATGTCTTCTTGTTTCTTGTATCTTGTATGAGTATGAGTATGAGTATTGGAACGTATGGCAAGCCCCAGATATATTGTCATCCACTGATCTCCCGGGGTTATATTACCCCCTTTCCGTTCTCCTGCGTATCCCGCCAAATCACAGCATTACCTGTGTTTGTTGGATCCGAAGTTTTTACGCCGGCTGGTAGATCCACCCTAGGAGTTCGTGGATGACAGTGTCAAAGGTTAAGGCAGCTCCCGGGATTTTTGTCAGCCGGGTCGGGCCATACGTCCAGTTTAGGAAGGGCTTTTGGAGGACATTGAACTGACCCAAAACTAAGTACAATCCGGAATCCTCCTAAACCATGGCTTTAGTAATAACCCCATTCATTTGGTATTCCTGAATGGGGGTGGGTGGATTAGTATGCTGCTAGCGCCTTTCCTTGATGGTGTACTTCTTGATAGCCGCTTTAGAATTTTTTTTTTGTTTTTGCCCCCCTGTGCGTTATTGAGTCGTATCTTCCGAACCGAAGTGTTGCCGGCCGCACCCCGCTGTAATATTGCCCTCTGACTATGTGGAAATACGTTTAACCTACTGGACTTGTCGACCCTCGAATTATTTTTTTTCCCACTGTGCGTGATTCTTAGAACGCTTTACTTAATTTATGAACCCTTACGTCTTGGTAATCTATAGATGTAAACATAAATAAATAAATTTCTTTAGGATGGTTTCTTTTGCTTAATGTTTATCGTAACTTGAGTGATTAATGGCTTCTTATGTGCCCTTGGGTTTATGGAAACATTTAACGATTATACGGTAAGACATACAATTAGAAAAATTACTTAGCTTGATTATTAGGCTATAATCCTGATGCTTTGTCTTTCGCGGGGTGTCCTTTGTTCCTTCTCCTCCAGGTTTTGAGACGCTCTGTCCCAGGTGTGCCGGTTGGCTTATCGTTGTGGCGGCTACTAGCCTTAATTACTTATTCACTTGCACACTTTAACGGCGTTATCTCGCAATTTTCGCCCTTGTTGCACTTCTTGCACTTGTTTGTATATTTATTTATTTATTTATTTATTAACGATTACCGATATTTCCGGATACTTTGTTTCGTTTTTGGTACTTTACGTTTGTATCGTATACGAGTTAGTCTCAGGCATTTTTGCATTTCAAGTCCTGGACGAATTATTACCTCAAATTACAAGTTATCATTAAAAATATTTTACTAATTTTAACATTGCTATTTTTCCAACTAATGCTTGATTAAAATATACCGATCCTTTTGTAACAAATGCTTCAAATATAGAGAAGAATCGGCAAAAAGTCATTACCGTCCCCTGTCCCTACCCACTAAATTGATTGTTATTTTCTGCAATATTTTAACAATAAACCACTTTTTAGACGTTTGTTGCTTTCTTATACATAAAAATAGTATAAACAATGTATTAAAAGTCAAAATTTGTTAGTATCTTACGATAATAATTGGCTATTAAATACTGAAAGTGTGTCCCGAATTTTGCACGTCATTACCGTCGCGTCTTTTCTAATATAATTTTCTGCCACCAGATCGCGCTCCGCGCCAATGTAACATGTTTTTAAGATTAGCGTCATCGCTCTTTAGTTGACCTTTGACAGTCAAAGTGTTTGTGAGTTGCTTTTGTGCTTTGATCATCTAAGAAAGGTATGCAAACCGCATTTTTTACATTTTGGTGTAATTACCGTCCCTATTTCTTAAATAAAGGTTAGTTGGAGTAAACTGTTTTACTAACCTGCA